TAAAGGATCCTATAACTGTTATATGTTACTAAAGGATACTATAACTGTTATATGTTACTAAAGGATCCTATAACTGTTATATGTTACTAAAGGTTACTATAACTGTTATTATATGTTACTAAAGGATCGTATAACTGTTATATGTTACTAAAGAATCCTATAACTGTTATATGTTACTAAAGGTTACTATAACTGTTATTATATGTTACTAAAGGATACTATAACTGTTATATGTTACTAAAGGTTACTATAACTGTTATTATATGTTACTAAAGGATCGAATAACTGTTATATGTTACTAAAGGATCCTTTAACTGTTATATATTACTAAAGGTTACTATAACTGTTATTATATGTTACTAAAGGTTACGTACGGGTAAGGTTACGGTATAACGGTTATTATATGTGACTAAATGTTACTGTAACTATGTAACAATGTGTTATTAATTGTTACTATTACTATGTTACTGTGTGTTGCTAAAGGTTACGATAACAAAGGTACTTTGTGTCACTAAGTTACTTTAACTGTTACAATGTGTTACTAAAGTTTATTGTAACTTAGTTACTGTTTTGCTGAAAGTTACTGCAACTTACTAGAATTAAGGATGCTAAGACTTGTTAGGTTTGTTACTAAATGGAATTTTAACTAACTTGCTATGTGTTACCAAAAGTTACTATATGTTACCTAAACCAAACATAGTTTATTCTAGAAATTTTAAGAAACATCCATCCATCTAAACTTTCGCATTTAAAATCTATACTAATGTTATAAAGAGGAAAGATTTGTATTTTTATATTTTTGTATGTATTGAAATAACTCAAAAACTACTAGGCCGATTTTTAAAATTCTTTCACCATTAGAAAGGTAATTTATCTGTGAGTAACATAGGCTATTTTTTTCATTATTTTCAAATTTTACGCGGGCGAAGTCGCGAACAGTATTAGTATAACTAACTTTATACGCACAACTAGTTATTTTAACTGTTATATGAATTAAAAAAATAAATACAAGGAATTTAATGTTTATTTAAAAATATAATCTCACATTGTCAAAGTCTATTATATCTAGAAACAATAACTTTTCAGTAAATTTTAACATAAGTATAAATTAATTAAAATCAACCTTAATGACTACGATATTAAGTTGAAATTCGAATTTTGTTTTCTATTTTTTTATTCTATGTCATCGTGTTAAAGATTCGCATGTTAGTCTGTTTGTCCAGATAGTACATCGGTTTGTCCCTCTTCTGGCGATTTGAACTGAAAAAAATAATAAAAACACAATCGTCAAAAACAATTTTAAAATGCCGTATAAAGTAACTCTTTGAGAAAATACAAAAAAAAATATAGAAAATCGAAATAGAAAAAAAATGTAGAAAATCGGGTTCAAACTTCAGGTCAAAAATATTTTTAAAATTATACGGCTGGCTATCTCAGAGTCATTAATTGGTCACTAAAGGTCGATAGTTGAATAAAAATGTGCTTGTCATATTGTATAGTATTTAATTAGTTATAGCTTTTGCCCACGACTTTGTCTTTGTGGAATTATAAAAAAAACTAGTAAAGAGTCTATGTGCTTTTGCAGACTGTGTTCTACATATATACCAAATTTCATCTAAACCCGTTTAGAGGTTTAGGCTACAAACTCTAAACGACTAAACTTTCGCATTTATAATATTAGTAAAAATGACTTACTAACAGTTTGTCCCATTTGAATTTGGACGCCAAAGATTCCGATATCTGTCCCTCCTTTAGTTGTTTCTTAACCGCCCTTTCCACTAGCCGTAGTGAAGCGAACATATTTTGCACGTTGAACGGTTGACGAGCTCTGGAAGTTGTCTGGAATAAAAAAAAACATTTAATAATAGACGAGTTGCTTGCGACAAATGTGAGTAACCTATGTGTTCCTCCAGACTATCCTTTACGTCTATGCCAAATTTCATCGAAATCCGTTCAGCCGTTTAGGCTACAAACTCTAACAAACATCCATCTAAACTTTCGCATTTATAATATTAGTAAGGTATTACTCACAGATAAATTAACTTTTTAACGGTGAAAGAATTTTTAAAATCGGGACATTAGTTTTTGAGTTATTTCAAACAGAAATACAATCTCTCTCATCTTCCTCTTTTTAATATTATGATAGATAGTATAGATTTAAAACTACCTCATTTGACTCTAAAGATGTGTTTATAAGATTTTTTTACCGCGATTTCGTGTGCGCGTAATTTAAATAGTAAGGGAGTTTTTAATTCCGCGCTGGCGTAACGGTCTAAATTTGCGTTAACGAAATTTGTCGACGGCTCGTATTAAACTTACCATAATTTCAACAGCGTCAAATAGTTTGTTTAATTCTTTTTTCTCTCTGTCATTTAGCGTTGGATCCTCGTAATCGAAGATCATAGTTTCTTTTAACTTTTTTTTTATAGTGGCGAGTGTGATCGGTAGAGACTGGTCTTGTATCTCGCCAGATTTGTATGCAGCTTTTGCGTCTTGATTGCTGTAAGGGCTGTAAAAGGAATAAGTGATTGAAGGAAAAATTTGTAATTTTTACGTTTTTAGGTTATATACGTGTTATGTTATTTAGTAGGTGTTTTCAAAATAAATTTAAATAGATTAAGAATTCATTAGTTAGGCAATTAATTTTGATCTAAAACGATGCAGAAAAAAATTAAACGCAAAAAGTTAAAAAACTTAGTGTTAATATAAGGATTGGTAATTTTGGTATAAAAATTGTATGATTATCGTAAAAATTTGAATATATCGTCACTTTATTGAAGTCGGCTTTAAATATGTTTTTATTTTGAATAGGATGTTGTCATTATAAGTTACTAGTTGTTGATTGATTTAAAAAAAAGTAAAAAGTATAGCCTATGTTACCCAATGATAACGTAGCTTTTTAATAGTGAAAGAATTTCTGTAATCGGTCGAGTAGTTTTTGAGTTATTTCAATGCATACAAAAATCTAAAAATGCGAATATTTTATTACAACAAAACTAAGTTAGGTGAGTTTCATAAACAACAAAAAAAACGCATTGAAGTAAATAAACACAGTTGTATACAAGTAGAGCGCCCTTATCAGTACAAATTACATTGGAATAACTCACCATTGCAAGGTAATGCGTATATTTACGGCCAAGCTGTGGATGGAAATTAAAAAAGGAATTAATCATTTAAACGACCTTGAGATGACACTAAAATAGTTGTAATTTGTGAATAAAAAAACCATAATTATGTTTGTGGGTTATTGACTAACGTTTGGTAAATTTGAAATCATACTAATATAATAAATTCGATGGATGTTTGTTAGTTTGTAGCCTAAACGGCTGAACGGATTTCTATGAAAATTCGTACAGATGTAGATGTCTGGAAGAACTCATATTCTACTCGCTTTTGCTTTAATTCCACGCGGAGGAAGTCGCGGGTGAAAACTAGTCAGAAATTAATAAATCTTTAAAGGACTGCAAAAACAATGCCGTAAAACCTAAATGTTTGAATAATATAACGAATAATTAAACTATATTTCGATATCGGCTTATGGAAGTTAAAACTAAATATGTGTGTACTCACAAAACGTGTAAAAACACCACACAATAAGGTTTCATTTTACGAAATTTAATTTAACAGAAAGTACGTGCGTGTGAAATGCAATGATTCGACTCAGCTTGTAGAACTAGTCGCGGTTATATTGTACCCCATTCAGATGTGATTTGACAGCGATTGATACGTTTTGATACTTCATATTATCTGTAAATAATATTCTAGAAATTGCTACCGATTTCAGTAGGACAATGTCTGTAAACCAACCATACTTTGGAACATTATCTACATATTTTTTTAATGTTTAAATCGTCCATGCTGCATGCAATAAAATGGACACAGCCTAAAAATATAAGTAAATTTTATTTTTATTCCAACATATTCAAAGCAATTAGTAAGTATATTTCTAGATTTATTTTATCAGTTTAACCGTTTATAGTGTCCATTAGATATATATTATTTACTAGCTGTTCCCGTGCGGCTTCATCCGCATGTAGTTATGAAAATTTTATTTTATTGTTGACATTTGTCAAATTATTAATAGCAAATGTCAAAATGACATGACATAACAAACCTTAC